AAAAAATGAAAACAGTGAACAACTATAAACCAGAGACATTTTATGGAGTTGGAAGGGAGGGGATCAGAACTGGGATGGGAAGAGTGCAGTGGACTGTGGTGATGGCACACGGGTGAATTGGTGGTGGGAAGCCCATGGGAATTACAACTGAGATGAAAAAATGCACAAAATGAAGAATGATGTAAAAAAATAAAATTTAATATTTAAAAAAATTAAAAACAAAAAAAGAATAGTCTTTGCACTCATTTCAAAAATTCTAAGACCTTGGAAATCTCTCAGCCGACCCCCACATTTTACTGATGAGGGAAATGTCTTGCCCGGGACGGTGAAGAACCTCCTGGAGTCATTTAATTAATTATAGAGACAAAAGTGTGAACAAAAGCCAGGCCTCTATAACCCAGTTTAGCACAGCTGCACCTGCCACACTGTATGGAATAAACAATGTTGTGAGTTAAAGAGGGCATAGATTCCTGATAACAGCAAAATTTGTTGCCAGTTAAGACAGAAATTATTTCATTTGGCTATTGTAAAAAAAAAAAAAAAAAAAAAAAAAAAAAAAAACACCTGTTTGTATTCCTAAATGGAGCTAAGATGCCTGAAACATTGTACCAAGGCAGATACTGGAGAGGGCAGAAAGCAAGGCCAACACAAAAGCCATTCAAGCCGTTCTGCATGTCAGCAAGGCCCTGCAACCTGGTGCACTGTATCAAGAATGCTCCCCAAAGGGAGCTTGAGAGAACATACCGTACTCGGAAGTTCAGGCCAGAAGCCTGGATCACAGCAAAACAGGTTCAGCTCAAAAGTGCCTCTGTTCTATTAGTATCTACTCAATATATAGATTGGAAAACCAAAGTGAAGAGTATTTTTGTTCCTCTCACATGAAAGGCCAGCCCACTAGACCCAGGAGTCAGTTAGTCTTACTCTCAAGAAAGTGTCTGCCACTCATATAAAGACTAAGATAGAAACAATAATTTCGTTTCCCCTTTAATTTATGAGAAATGACAAAATAACACTCAGTCTGAACAAATTAGACCCTTTCAATGAAGAGGTAATGAAATCCTTATGATTTTAATCCCTCAAGCCACCCTTAGAGCTGCTTAAGTATATCCGAGCCCCCGGAGGATGCTCTTCATGCCTCGTAATGTACTCAGTAATGGAGGAGAGCTGATGGTTTTTATTACCACTCTTCCGTTAAGTAGAATTTCTCTGTTGCCTTTCAGAGACTGAACAGTTTCGCTTAATTGCTTTGGCATTTCTTATTTTATACTCTAAATTCTGTACCAAGGGATGGGAGGCATATTTTTCACTATGTGGTGCTCTCCTCTGCCCTTACATAGGTAGCTTGTTCTGAACTGCTCCAGTGAAGATATGATCAAGCCCCTGGAAAAGGCTCTTGGTGTCATGGTGATGGCAGCCAGGCATCCTCACCTACCTACCTGATAGGCAGGCATTTAGACTATCTAACTGACACCGTACGCAGTGCATGGGGGACTGAGCAAGGGTGAGGCAAGCAAGTCATAAGACTTGATGCTCACGGTCAATGGATGTGGGCTCAGCGCTTGGAAGTGTTGGGGTTATGTGTCATAAGATTTGTGTTCTGCAGCAGTCTGGTAATGGTGAAAGCCTATGATCAGCCAGTAAAAGGGAAGGCACTTTGAAGTATTTCTCAAACTCCTTCCAGAACCAGACTTGTTTGCTTATACATCAGTTCTTTTTGCAATCCGCAAAGAACTGGTTCAAGGTAGAGCTTTGAATGTTGAAACTGGCATTTTCAATAATTTTGTTGCTTAATTTTAAGTTGTTCTGAGAAACTTTGCTTTCTTTTAGAGATTAAAGGTGGGGTAAAAATTCAGTGCTCTGTGGAAAGTGGAATTTCCACGGGTAAATACACAGTTTTTCAGCATCCTATCTTAGATGTCTCTCTCAGTCAGCTGCCATGAACAGGCAGTTCATACAGCCTACCCCTACAAGCCAGGCACTGATAAGAAAACAGAAGCTTGGCCTTCAGAAGTTCCTCCTAGAATGTCCATTGCTTAGCCCTCTGCTGGGCACCAGATTGTCTTAGTGTTCAAAGATAAAAGACACCACTAATGTAAGAGTAGGAAAGATCCCTTCTGTCTGATGGTTTCTAGATTTGTTTTTAACTTTTCTTTATGTTACAAAGGCTTTGGAACCTTCACTTTTCACTATCAATTTCCTCAGTACTCATTTCCAACTGTTCTCTTTATCATCTTGCATTATGCAAAAATTTTAAACACTGTGCCAAGACATTTATAGTTTATATTCATAATGCTTTCAACTCCAAATTCATTGTAGAAATTGTAGCCAAAGCATCTTGAAATATTGACTTTATTCATAAGGATCATTGTGAAATATATTTTACAGTGGCTTTGTGAGACTTTTAATGACTTGTTAGTGAATAATTTTAGGTTTTGTTATTCTTCTGTGTCTCAAATAGTCATTGGCTTTTTCATTTTTCGAGCCTAGTTATTTCTGACTTCTTAGTTTTGTTTGTTCCTGTGTCCAAAGAAAATCAGAAAGATCCCCAACTAGGTTGTCACTTGTAGTATCAGTGCCTTTATTACTGCTCGTGGCTGGTGGTGCTCGGCTTAAAATTCTTAATGGTCACTATGCACATTTAGATTGGACAGTTTTATCTCAGAAAACATTGTGTATGCATAAGCAATAGAAACAAATGAAAAAAACACACCAAGGAGCTCCCTGGTAGCCCAGGGGTTAAGTCTTAGTGCTATGACCCTGATGGCCTGATCCAATCCCTGACCAGGAAGCTAAACCACAAATAACGCAGCAGGCCTTTCCTGTCTCTCCAGCCCTTTGCTCCCCTCAGCAGTGTATTTCAGTGGATCTACCTGCTCTGCTCCCCACTCTGTCTCTGGTGAATCCTCTCACCCCTGCACCTCTGGCCTATAACCCAGTCTTATGCAAAAGATAAAAACCACCTAGAAGGTTCCTTTCTCTATTTCTGCCTCACCATTTTTACAATTGTGTTCTCTTGATTTCAGAGCACAGCAGTGGCTGTACTTCCAATTTCTCTAAGCAATAGCTTCTGAATTCTCCACTAGGGGAATTTACAAAGGTTTGTTTCAACGTTTCTCATTGCACAGCAATTGTACACATTAGATACCTGAATGCTTAACTCACTCGAGCTCCATAAAGGTTCCCTTCCAGTGAAAAGGTACTTTTCCTTCTTGACACATACTCCTCCTCACCCTGTTGTTTATCAGAGAGAGACATGACCATTGTGCCTTCAGGTACTACTACTTAATTTATAAAGATTTAACTGTTTTGTTACTCTTGGTTTACAGAAAGAAGCAGAGGTAAAGGAACGGTCTGTTTTTGACATCCCTATATTTACAGAGGAATTCCTGAACCACAGCAAAGGTGATTACAAGAGTGTCATGTTCTGTTCCTCAAGTCTGTGAGAGGGGATGCAGTTGTCAGGAGGAAGTAATTGTTCAAAAGCAGTGGTTGTGCGTTTCCAGACCATAGGACTGGTCTGGAAGAAGGAAACTGCTTCTGCTTACTTCATCCTCTAATAAGCAACTCAAAAGATCAGTGAGAAAAAGCTGTCCGTTTTGTTAAAGCTGCTTTAGTCTCCAGATACAAGGAAATAAATTACCTCACTAATTCACTTGTGTTCAGACGCTTAGCCTGGAACCCTTTGTACAAATGAAAGCTTATTTGGACATCCAAAATGTAAAAAGAAAAGGCAAAGCTGATCCTATTAAAGAAAAGGACCCACAACTGTTCTTACCTAGTCTCCCAGGATCCCCTTAATAAGTCTCTAGGGTTCTTTATTGCACAGTTTAAACAACAAAACAAAAATTTTGGAATTCCAGTTTTTCCTTGCAATCTTAAGCATATAGAATATGACCATCTTTAAGAAATAAACTCGCTCTAGGGAGCAGGCGCCTTATTGCTGAAATTGCTATCGGAAGGCCATGTTGAAATAAGGAGATGAGGTGGGGCAGCTAATTAGAGATAGCTAAGCAGAACTTCCAGTTAGAGTCATTAGACTCCTTGGAGACTGCTGGTGTTATATGTGTTCTTTGTGGGGTGTGCTTCTCAGCCCGGGAGGCAGAGCTCCGCCAGCTTCGGAAATCCAACATGGAGTTTGAAGAGCGGAATGCAGCCCTGCAGAAACACGTGGAGAGCATGCGCACGGCCGTAGAGAAGCTGGAGGTCGACGTGATCCAAGAGCGGAGCCGCAACACTGTCTTACAGCAGCACCTGGAGACCCTGCGGCAGGTGTTGACCAGCAGCTTCGCCAGCATGCCCTTGCCTGGTATGCCATCCCTCACGGAGCGCGCTGGTAGGGGGGCCAGGGAAGGGACAGTTTATGCAGGTATCAGTGTGGTGAAGATAGGTCTCCCTCAAGAGGAAAATCAATGCAGTATTTTACCCTCGCTTCCCACAGAGTTTTCTGTGACTCATGTAATCTCAGTATTGGCTGTTGGCTAAAATATAGAATTTCAGGTTGTCCAGTCATGTAAATTTTTCTTCAGTTAAATTTTAATATAATCGGCTTCCTTCCTATTAACTTGATATTCAGAACATGGAAAATAAGTGATAAATCCTGAATAGAACACTTTTCTTATGTATATTTGTTTGCTTTTAGATGCTGTTCTAGTGGAATAGAAGAGGAGATAAATATTAGTATTTCATATGTACAGTTTCATGTTGAGAATAGTCATAGCACAAAGCTGGGAGATTCTCTTTTTGTTTTACTATGTAGCTACTGTACAGCAACTCTATAACCTATTTATTTAGAGTATGCAGATTAATTTAATTTTTTTGAGGTTTACAAGTGTCTCCTGAAATCTTGTTTGTGCAGAACAGTTAGAATCACAAGTTCTTTTGATGTGGATTCACTTAACTGTGTTAGCGCTGAATTGAATAAGGAGGAATTTCTTACTCTTCCCTCTTATTTCACTTCAGGAAGTGGAGAGACCCCTACAGTGGACACCATTGACTCGTATATGAACAGATTGCACAGTATTATTTTAGCTAATCCCCAAGACAATGAAAACTTCATAGCTACAGTTCGTGAAGTTGTGAACAGGCTTGATCGTTAGGGAATGGTGAGTGTTCACTGGGTGATAATTCTGTGACAGCATGTCATCAACTGTTCATACTGCTAAAACCTTGAAATTACATGGAATAAATGAGCTCCACACTCAATTCAGATTCCTGTTGCATGGTTGCTAAATGTAGTAAACTGTGAGAAAACAGAATCAGGATAGTTTGTTCTCATGTGTGCCTCAGCATGGGTTAATGGACAGAAAAAGCATCGTTGCTATAATTGGGCCTGGCTTCTAGCTCTGTCACTCTCCCACTAGCGGTATTCTCAGGTGTTTCTTTCCCAAATGGTTTTTGAAAAACAGGTGAGAAATCTCAAGGAAATCAGCTCCAAGATAGCACTTACAATGTATTACTTAACTGTTAGTTTTCCATTTTTCTAGAAAATACTAATGATCGTTTTCAAAATAGTCAGCAAGACATTCCAAGTCAGCCAGTAAGCCTGTGTAAGGAGCTTTTCATCCACCACTCAACATCAGTAACTGTTATATGTTACATGATAATGTGGACTAACCATAGAGTGACACACTTACTGCCCTGGTTGAACAGATTAAAAAATAAAACTCTTCAAGAAGTAATAAAAGAAAAAGAAGATTTTTAAAAATATATTCCACAAATGACTTTTGTAGTGTGTGTTACAGCCTTTCAGAAAGGTAAAGGGCACATTTCCATGATATGATCGTATATATATATTTTTTTAATTAGAATTAGCATTTGTTCACACAAATTGTTAGAGATTGGGTATCCTTTAGTGTGCCATCCCCCAGAATTGAGAGCCCTTCAGTCTGTCTACCGAATTGTATTTTACCTGCAAGTATGCTGTGTGGAAAGCTTAGGGGGGACCCTGTGGAAAGGTGACCACATGTGGATGCTAATCCAAGAGTAGACAGCAGAATAAGCTCTTTAGAATGGCAGGTTTGTTCTGCAGGAACATAAAGATCCTCATCATACATTTATATTTAACATTGTTTGGACCTTTAGTAACATGAAACATGTAAATAAAAAGCCTGCTTCTTTATCTAATGAGACAACATCTGCTAACAGAGACAGGGGCAGTAGTCTTTATGCTTCTTGGTCGTGCCCTAAGATGATAACTGTACTAGGCAATTCATTATACTTTAGCCTCAGCCGTGCTCAGACTGGGAAAGGATTACTGTCCTTCTAGTGAGTGACCAGATGGAACGAACTATACTTCTAAGAGATGGCTGGACTCCCTGCAGAATAAAGAAGTGGCATTATTGCTGCTTCTTATGAAGGGAACAGCTTGTAAATCTAGGCCCGGGGTTTTTAGGAGCTCATCAGCCTTCTCATTTTCACACAGTGTTTTCAATTAGCACTCTTACAGGCTTGAAAAGAGAGAGCTGGGAGAAACAGTGTGGAAGATTGTGAAAGAACATAGTAATTGACAGCATGGTGTTTCCTCACATAGGTATAGGGCAGTCATTGCAAGTTTGAGCCAAAAGTGGTTTCCTTTTTGAGTATTTTGTCAGTAAGGCAAAAATCTTAACCTGCCTAAAAGCTAAGAGTGATACTCTCTCCTTTCTGAGGTGCCTTTCAAAACCTACAATTTTAAATCTGTATGTATTTTGCCCTTGAAAAATTAATACTTGAAAATATGAACCATTTTATTATTATTGATTCTTACACTCTGGCTGGTCAAGTATGGCTAAAAATGGGTAGTTCCCCACACCCCCCAAAACTGTCCAATGAAACAATTAGAAAAACTATGATTAATTCTAGTTTGGCTCATTATACAAATATGTACAAATAGCTAGGCCTGATGTCCCCAGCATTTATGGCTAAGTATGGCTAAAAATGGATAGTTCCCCACACCCGCCAAAACTGTCCAATGAAACAATTAGAAAAACTGTGATTAATTCTAGTTTGGCTCATTATACAAATATGTACAAATAGCTAGGCCTGATGTCCCCAGCATTTATGGTGCAATTAATTACTCTGACATGAGCTTGGCATGGGTCTCAGCCACTGTCAGGACCCAGTGAGTAAAGGAAAGCTAATGGCCTGCATGTTTTAGAGGAGCATATTAAAGCTGGCAGGGGCCCGTGGAAATCCCAACATTTTACATAAGAAGAAACTGAATCCTGAAAAATTGAAATGTCACCCTTGAAAAATACCTGAGTAGATGAGTACAAAAGCTAGGAGTAGGAGAAATATAGCTGACCTCTGTTTCATTGGAGTCTCTACAATATTACTCTGAAGAAATGGGGAGGTAGAGAGGTAGGTATAAAAGAAAAAACTTTAAAATCCTTGGAATGAGAACATTTAGATACATAGGGAGTAGATGGAAAAGAATTACAATACAGTAATTTTAATGGTATGAAATTTTGTCAACTCATTAAAAATTATATTTTTGTCATTTTTCTAAGACTTAATTTAGAGAGACAGGTAATATAAGAATTGCCCCAGCTGTCACTTTCTTTGTGGCTAACTAGTAACTAGATAAAAATGAAGCTAGGCAGAAACTGTAGGGGAGATTTCCTGTTGAGATATGAATGCTTTATATAAACCATCAAAATCCATAAGCTGCTTCACTTCAGTTGGACCAATTGATAGATATTTGGCAGAGGGTTGGAGGTTAAAAAAAAAAAAAACTTTTGTGATTGTATTTGTATCATTGTGAAAAAATGTATTGTTTGTATGCACACAGGACATTCTTAGACTTGCAGAGATCCATACTCTTACATTTGAAGACAGTTGGCTTTGACTGACCATATATTCTTTGGACTCAAGTACAGTACTAATTTTCCATCATCAGATTTTTCCCTGGTGGTTGCCCCTCTGTGTTCAGCCGAGGATTTTCCTGCCTCTCCATTGTTACTGAACTGGAGCAGGGCCATGTTTCCCATTGAAATGTTATCGCAGACATCTCAATGAGTTTGCCTGCGTGCAGCACTATGCTCTGTAGTTTACACACACCCTGCTTGCTCCTCGCCTTAACTCCTCTGAAGACAGAACAAAGCATGTTTTTACCCAGAGCCATAACTCTTTCAGGTCAGTGCTTACCTTTGTGGCATCTTTTTCACCCTACTCCTACCCCTTCCCCAATTCTACAGGTATACAGCTCCAGGATGTTCTGTAAGTGATTTTACTTGTGAGGAATGAGAAGCCATCCATGGAAAGCTGAACTGAGTGGAGGCAGAGTGGGCATGCAGATTACTCTGCTTGTGAAAGAATTCCCAGTTACAAGCTCAATGCCTCCACCCCAGGAAGCCATGTGAGGGAGCAGCGAAAGGAACACAGACAGGAACTTCCTTTGGAATCGTTTTTTGTGGACTTTGAAAGTGTACAGCCTCTCCCCTGCATCTACGGTTTCCTGTTATCTCCATTTCCGTTGAAGTGGACCTGCATATATTCTGCTGACCAGGCAACCTGAGACTGATACCGGCAGCAGTGAAGCCTTCTCATTGTTCCCATTCATATAGGACCCTTTTATCAGTAGTTCTCCAGTTTTCATACCTAGATGTCACTTTTTTTTAATGCCCTTGGGGGTATTTTTTAGTTCCTTTCCCTACTCCCACCAAGTTATACATCTCCATTGTCTGACCTGAGCTGGGGTCTCAGCAGGGCTCTGAAGGGAAGCAGCTCTCACTGGACAGACACGTCTTCTCCCATCATCGCCCTGCTGTAACTCCAAAGAAAAGGACTTCTTGTGACAGTGTCTTCTGGAGCCAGGCTCCCTGGGGACTAGCCCTCCCCTGCGGAGGCTTTGTGCTTGCCGCCCATCTCCTTCCTCCTTGGTGCTGCCTGCTGTTTCTCAGCGTGGCTCCTGCCCATACACTGTGTCCCAGCCCCAGGGAAGCTCCTCTGTTCCATCTGTTGGCAATATCTTGTGGAGCATTTTGCTGAGGAAAAGGTCATTGGGAAGCGGAAGAGAACGGTGAAAGTAGTTTCTCATTTGACGTGGAAGGAAAGAAAAAGCAAGTTTATCCTAAGTGAAAACTGAGGGAATCCCTGTCTGCTTTAGACATGCAATTCATGGTGATTGATAGGTAGAAATCTCATTCAAAAATTGTCTCTCGAGCTCACACAAAGGATTTCTCCTGTCTTTTATTTTCCTTCTGTGACCGCAGAAACCATGTCAAAAGGACAGGCTTGCCTTCCTACTCCATTCTTAGGAAGTGATTCTTCAAACACCAAAAGGGAAGAAGGTCTCTGATTCTCACCTCAGGTTTTGGTTTGGTTTGGTTTTGATGCACTAGAGCACAAGGCTGCCAGTTACAGCTGAGATCTTTGGAACCAAAGCAGGGCGTGCTGAGCGCATTGTCTAGGCACCGTGCCACGGAAGCAGGTGGCAGCACTCCCCCTCACAATATGCTCCGAAGTGAGGGTGCAAGCCAGAAACCCCATCATGTGGCTGTTCCACCGTGTCTTCTCAGCATCTCCTTACCTGATTTTTTTAGGCCAAAGGAAATAAAACATCAGCAAAACCACCTTTTTTTAATGTCTTACGTGAACACCCATTAAATTCCCATGCACTGAGGCCCATAGACCACCACTGGGCAGTTTTTCAAAGTAAGAACCCACGTTATTGCTGTGAACCTACCCAACTCACCTGCTTTTCTGTCTTCCTTGTGCCCCTTGCTGTTCCTGTCACTTCCCTCAGAGGCCTCACCTGCTAAGCCCAGTCTAGAACACGTGTCTCTGGCAGAAGGATATTGATATGCCAGTTCTGTAACTTCCTGTCTGCCTCCTGCCAGATGCTTCCTGTCCATTCTTCCTCCTAATATTTCTCTGTATCTCTTCTGTGTTAGTTTTGTGTGATTTTTTTAGAAGTTCTCTTGACCAGGAAAAGCTGTAACTTGGTGCAAAGATCATCATTCCCTTGACTCGAGATAGAAGAACTAGCAGTGACTTGAAACGAGCCTATTCAAAAATGCAGGGGATCTCCAGAGAGCCCGCATTCTGACATTTTTCACCCAACAAGCAGCCTGTTTTTTTTAAGGGCTGCCTCTCCCAGCTACACACCTGAGTCACTGGTGCCTGGGATTCAGCTGCCACAAAACTGTCAGGCTCTGTTAAGGAGATCAGAGTCACCTCTGCTCTTCCCTGTACCCAACTAAGAGGTGGTAAATGAGGTTACAGACTAACACAATACCCAATTCGTGTTTCCCAGTAAACTTGTAGATTTTACTGCACTTACATGTTCTTCTTAAGAAATAAGTTGTTGCCTGTTCAGTGTTATAGGTTTCTTTTTATTAAAAAACAAGCAGCAGTTGAGGAAACTGAGACAATGTATTTTGTTTCTGACAAATTTTAGAAGAAATGTGTACATGTGTTTGGAATTGTTGAGATGCCAAGTTTTCTGTACAAGTGTTTTTGTAATTAAACTTTTAGATTTTCTTTGTTTTTTTTTTAAGAAGTCGATATGCTTGCTTGACATTTGCCTCATTAAAACTTTTCTATGTTCAATCCACCCGATTCACTTTTACCTGCATCGTAAGGAAAAAAAGTCCTACCTTTGCCTTTTCATCTTAAAGACTTTGTCAACTCTGCATTAATCCGGTAACACATTTATTTCACTAATTGCTTATTCAAAATGTGTCTTAGCCTGTTTGAAAATTCAGCTCTTTTAATGTATGCTATAACAATGCAGTGAGTTGTAATTCATTTTAATGTAGCAGTAGTATTCTGGTGGCAACTTGAAAGAAGTCTGATGTTTTTAAAGTCAGTGACTTCAGTCCCCTTGATAATCTGACTTAAGATAGTCTTCTGTTTGACAGAGGATCTAAGGTCTCCTTAAATGATTGCATTTAAAAATAACCATTACTTAGCCAATCAAAATCATTTTTAAGGGAAATTTGTCACTTATTTCCACCATGCTTTTAAAATCCCAGGCATGAGTTAACCTGGTTTCCAAAGCCTGCTGTTCTCCACATCACCCCTGGTGCGGCCTCACACTAGACTCGCCTTGTTCCAACTCCAGCTCCTCTTTGACATGACACACGCCTTGGCTCTTTCACACTGTGTTTGCACAAGCAGAATTAGGTAGCAAAATTGACCTTACTTTGGAAATCTGAAAACTGTTGTTACATAAATGCCAAGAATAACTGAGGTGACTCAGTTAGGATTGGCCCTGACTAAATTTAACAGACACCCAAATCAGCAAAAACTTCTAAAGTGTCTCATAGAAAAACATTCCAGAGGTAGAGTAACAGCACAGTTACTTTCTCAAGGTCACCTCATAGTCCAAAATAGCCATTTGACCATCAGCTGTCATCTGGAATTTTTGGCAGCGTGAAAAAGAGAGCAGGGGCAAAACAGGCTAGGCCAGCTGAGTCAGCACTTAAGAGACTTCTGGAAACCACATTCAACACTTCCAGAAAGCCCAGTCACATGACAAGGGAGGCAGAGAAATGTCATCTTTCTGTAGACATTACTCTCCACAACATAACAGGGTTTAGTCAGAAAGAAAATGAACGAGGAGCACACAATTACCACTAATCTTGTGACTCAGGTGACTCCACCCGTTCTCTGAGGCTGGCCCTACCACACTAGTGAATAGACGCATCATCTTGCTTCTAGGCTGTCCTGAAATTGGCCATGTACTTCCTTATCATACCCCCTCTCTCTCCACTCCCCAAGCAGCTAGAAAGTTGAACACTGACTTCTGTCTGGATTAGCACTTGCTGTTCCCACCTTAGCTCCTCCCCATCCCCTCAACAGCTGGTGGCCAGTTTGGTTTGGTACAGTCAACATAAACAGGTGGTAATATTTCCTTGGTTGTTTGTTCCTTTTCTCTAACAACTCAGCATCTGCTCGATTTAAACAACTCCAGGATAATCTTTCCCTAAGGGTAGAAAAATGGAAGTATTGCTTGGAGGAAAAGCACAGAGCCACTTCCTGCCTCTGAAAGAATTTCCTGCCTGGCAACTAAGAGTTCCAAGTCAAGGACTTCTGCTTTGTGATGTTTATTTACCTTTTGACGGATAGTCTGCACTCAGAAATAAACTTTACAATATCTATAGAAGTAAACACTTGTTCATATGCCAGTTCATAAAAGAGGTTAGGATTTTTAGGTGAGAAAGAACAGATGGAAATGGCAATGTCCAACCACTCATCCAAAACCATTTCAGTTTAGTTTTGAAGGGAAAGTATGTCTACAAGGGGAAAACTTTTGCCAAAGATAAAAATGTAAAATGCAAGAAAGTTGAAAGCTCTCTATAATTAGCTCCTGTGTTCTCCATTCCCCTCCAGCCCATTAGGAACTACAAAGATCCTCAGGGGAGAACAGTCTAGTTGGACAGATAGACAAGTGCATAAGCAGTTCAGCCATACTGGGAACTTGAATTGAGGTAAATAATTTTGGGGAAGTGAAAAAATTGCATAAGTCTACAAGAAATGATTTTCTGTAATCACAAAACAATTTGCAGTGGAGAGTAACTCTATATTTAACAGACTGGACCAGTGTTGTAACTAATGAAGACTTTAAAAGGTAGTTGAAATATGAAAGTCTAGACTAATAGCCATCAGTCTTTCTAGTAGAGGTGAAGGAAGCTGAAAACTAAGTCATTGGATTAGTTTTAACTTACACAAGTTTTTCAAAACTTATTTGACCCATTATTAGGTCATTAAATCAATATTTTAGTCTAAAACATTAAGATTAAATCAAAGAGAGCCAAAATGTACTACATGTAGTAAGGGGTAAATATTACTTGATGAAATTCGTATATTCAAATTCACACACTTTCATATAGATGCTTGCTGGGGTAAAACATAAACGAGATTGTTGACCCCTTCCCCTGGCAAAATAGTAAAGATCGTCGACTTTTCCACTACCTTCGAAATGGAAGGAACTGGGAGCTGAGTTCTAGTTTGAGTTCTAGTTTTCTACGTATGTGACCTTAAGCAAGGTGCTCAAATCACCTGTGCCCTGTTTTCTCATCTGTGATAAGTGAATATCACAGGTATTAGATAATAGTTTTCTGTTGTGTAGAGATTTTATGTGCATTAAATTAGTTAACCCACGTAAAATACTCAATAGTAGCTGTCACCGAATAGACTCCTATTAGCTATTATAATTTGTGAAAGACTTAAGGGAAAAGAGAACAATTAGAAATATACTCCAGGCCAGGCACTCTTCTTTTTAATAAATTATGTCATTTAATTCCTATCACAACCTTATAGCATAGGGCTACTATATCCATTTTATGAGTAAGTGACTAAAGACAAAAATGATAAACAGCTTGCACAATTATGCAACTGGGAGGAGGCGAAGAAAACGTGTCCACCCAAATAGTCTGACTCCACTTTCCACCATGAATAGGTGACACATTGTCCTCAGGAGATTTCCTGACACATGAATTAAAAGCAGCAGCATAGTAAGATCTAGAAACTAGAATTAGATCTACTCATCCAATTATATTTGTTGATTTTAACATGCTGGGAGCTTTCTCAGGTCCCTGTCTGGCTAGAGCTTATATCCTGCTAGGGGCAGGGGGCAGAGTTGTGGGTCTGGGGGCTGTAAACAACTATCCTAGAAACTCAACTTTGTTGCTAAAACAAGATGAATGATATAAACTTAACTAGGGTAGAAAAAGGACTTCTCAAAAAAAGTGGTGTTTGAAAAAAAGACCACATTGGCCCTCCCTGGTGGTGCAACGGGTAAGAACGCAGCATTACAGGCTGGCCACGGCCCTTCAGTGCAATTTGTTCGAACTTCACCCTGGAGGTGATCCACATGGCACAGCAGACCTCTCCTGACCCTCTCCTGCTGCTCCCTCAACAGTGTACTTCTGCTTGTTCTGCTCCCCACTCTGTCTCTGGTGAATCCTCTCACCACCTCTGCACCTCTGGCTTGTACCCCAGTTCTGTATGCATAAATAATAAATAAACCTTTAAAAAAAGAAGAAAGAAAGAAAAAAGACCACATTGAGTCAAAGGAGCCAGCCCAGCAAAGGACTGAGGGGAAATAGAAAGTCCACAGTCCAAGGCAGGAATGAGCTCTGATATTTCAAGGAATAGAAAAAGCCAATCAGCATGGAGCAGAGCAAATGAGAGGGGTATAGTAGCTTTGAGGTTGCAAGGTAGGTAATAAGCAAGTCCTGTGGAGCCTTGTCATATGCATAATGTGAAGAGAGTTTTACACAAGTAAGAGGCTAGATTTGATTAATGTTTTTTCAACATCTACTCTCTACTGAGTACTGAATAGTGGGGAGGCAAAAGAGGAATCAGAAAATCCCATTAAAAGGTTGGACAGGACAGCAGCTTGGCCTAGACTGGTGGCAGCAGGGGCAGAAAAGCGCAGTTGAATTCAGGTTGTTTTGGAAATAAAATGGAAAGAAATTGCTAAGGGATTGGATGTACAGAGTGAATCAAGAATGACTTCCAGATTTTTTTCACTCGTGCAACTAGATAGTGGATGGAGGTAGCATTGCCTGATGTGGCATAGACGTGTTAAATTAGAGATTTCACCAGCAGATTAACCCCTGGGCAAGACACCTGCATCTCTCTATTTGTGAAAATGTTCCTTTCAGCTCTTAAATACTGTGGTTCCATGGGATCCTACATCAGGACAGTTAGGCTAACACTCCTGCTCTCCTCGGCACATAAGCACACACTCACATAGACACAGTGATTCAAGGTGTTCACTGAACTATGAAATTAAGAAGTGGTCTCCTTTTTAATTATTCAAGCTCCTTAGGAAAAGAATTTTTTAAAGCCTGAATCTGCATTTGGTTAAGATTGGCATAAGATTGTAGGATATAAATATTATACCATAACCTGATGGTTAGAAAATCTTGGTCAAATAATAGAAAGTGTCTGCTTGAATAAGACTGGCCAAAAATATATTTTGCATCATTCAAAGAAAGGAAATGTGAGAAGACATCACTGATGGAGCCAAAAGGTTTCTGGACTTAGCAAGTGGGCTCCTGCTTTGCTGCTTCTGTCTTCAAGGAGAGAAATGAAAGGCAGCTGGGGCCAGGCTCTGGCATGTAAGATGATAACCTTGTATTTTCCTGAGGGCTGATATATTTTTTTAAGTGGACATATATTTATCAAAAGAAGTTTTTTTTTTTTTAAGGGCAAGCTAAATGTGGTCATTATGGATTTTATTCATCCCTCAGAAGAATATTTTCAAATTCATTCATTCAGACATTGTCCATATATTTTGTATGTGTTTTGGGTGTACTGTGAAGGAAATCCCTCTCCTCAGGAAACAATATTACAAAGACTAGACACAAAAGCTAACTACAATAGGATGCAATACCATTATCCAATGCCTGGAAGCAGAGAATTCTAGAAAATACTGAAGAAGGATTCAGTGGTTGTACTTGGGGAAGGTCAAGAGAGCTGTCCAGGATAACATTTCTTTTTCAACTTGAGAAAAAGGATATTTCTTTTATGAGAAGCTGGAACTGAGCTTGGTTCTGGTAGCACATTTCAGGTGTACTCAACTAATTCAGTATGACCAGAACATAGGTTGTATGCCAAGTACTAATTAAAAAAAGAGAGAGATGTTTTGAAGATGGGTTATAAAGGGGCCTTGAATGCCATGCTGAGGGATTAGATTTTTATTTTGTGCCCCAGAGTCTTTCTTTCAAAAAA